AGGTTTGACTTGACAGTACTCTCTGATCTATCAAAAAATAAAAATAAAATCAAATAAAAAAATCAATAGCTAAGGTTTTTGTTTGGTTGGGTTTTTTTATTATTATTATTAAAAATAGCTACATAAGAAATGAAAAGCAGACCTCTGAGGCATAGTCAGGCTCTTAGAAGTAGAAAGAGAAATAATAATAATATAAAAAGGAAGACCATTGTTTTTCTTTCTATGCCTTGAATTTTGACAGAGAACACCTTCCACGTTCTGTGTTTTAAATAATGTCAAAATTTTTACTGATTATGACTTATGTCAAGTATATTAGCATGGTATTATTTTATCATAGGAATTGCATGTCCTTGTATACTGCAGATGATAGACTTCATTGTGAATTAGCATTCTTATTTCTATCACCTTAATTTCCCTAATCAGTAAGCACCCTCACTTTTGGGTATTTGCCATGCATTTTGACCTGCTCTAGCAACAGATTTCAGCTAAGCCTTGGAAGACACGTTCCCAGACATTGGAAAGTATTCAAATAAATCAAAAAGCAGACAAATATACCCTTCATCACTCTGAAACTATTCTGCAAATCTTCCTACAGGTTTTAATACAGAAGAGTAAAAGGACAGAGATACCATGCCTGACCAGATACTTATCTAGGTTAGTATACTCATCCCAAGTGACCACTAATGGTAGATAATGGATGCAAACAGGAATGGAAAGCATGTGTACATACAGCATGTGCTAGGACATGCTCTCCATTTTCATCTTCCACCACAAAGACACCTCAGGGTGTCAGATGCATGTGACCTGCTCTATGGGAATCCTCCAACTGTTGCTCCAGAAGGTCATGTACATCCCCACCAAACCTGCCAGGTCCAAAAGGGTGGTTAAAATATCACAAGCAGTAATAGAAACCTACATCAGGCAACTGAATCAAGCTCCTGGACTTCAGAGCCCATTTTCAAACTGAACCACTTTTCGCATTTCGAGCATCCCTTCACAAACCTTCACAATCCACTTGAGCACTGATTATCCTCAGCAACACTGTGCCATTAGCTAGCTCATTATTCCTTCATTCATACAAGTTTTGGTTTCTGCTGACATTTTAGTGAGAAGCTTCCTTAGACTTACCAGACAATAGGGTATGAGTAGCCAATTTTTTTTATTTATTTATTTTTTAAGTTTGACTTTTCAGCAGATTCATTGTTAGGATATTGTTGCTGGTGTAATAGGATCTGTATACACAGAGTGTTTTGTAACTAACTACTCCAAGTAGTAAAGGGTTGAGGAACAGAAGCGACCCTCCAGAGCTTTACTACTGATCACAAGTACCTGGGGAATAACTCCAGCAAGTGTTAACATGTCTTTTACAAATTGTTACAAGCACTTACATAACACCTGAGGAAAAAACAGAGTTCAAAGTACAGCTTCCTGGAAGGATTTTAAGCTTTAACCCACCAGCAAAAAGTTCACAGTCCTCCAAATGCAACACATGTTTCAAGTTCAAAGAGAAGTAAGAACAGACAAAAAGCCGGGATACTGACCCACAACCAAAAGGTGTTCCCTGCTCTGTCTGTATGCTGCTGTTGTTAAGGCAGTTACTGCTCTTTGGAGTTGGTACAGCTCTTGCAAAGCAGATGTGGTATATGCCTGAATCAATGCATTTTTCCTTAATTCCTTTTCCCTAATAATTGAGTGCTCAATCTTTCCTATAGCCTGACCACACATACAAATGAGAAAGGCTCTGATATTATCCCCTTCTTAGGTAATCACGTAACTAATAAAGCTAATTCCCAAACCCCTATATCTCAATAAGTTTTCCTCTAGCTGTAAATCCATGTAAATTAATAACTGATGTGCAGTCAAGATCTCCATCTTGCATAAGGTGATACAAATTTAAGCAGCTTCAGTCAGATTGTGGTGACTACATTCCTCCATATATGCATATACAAACACCCCACGCAGAGCTCTACTGAGCCACTTGGACACAGGGAACTTTCCATTCCCAGACCCTCCTCCTACTTCTACCTGCAGATATTTTGCCATCTCTACTGTTGCTCACCATCCACACACTTGCAGTGACACAGCCTTTATCCAATGCAGAATGAGAACATTTGGCAGATGAGTACATACAGTAGCCTTTATCACTCTCCTTGAATATGAAATCTCATAAACTGAATAGAAAGCAAGTTTTCTACACTGCTTTTTCTGGAGTTCTGGATGTAGATAAACTCCAGTTTCCTCATGCAAATGTGTCCCATTGCATCTCTTCACCATGCCAGCAGGGTCTCATCAACTCTACTTAGTCTCTCTTACTACAGAAAAGTCTCCCCATGCATGCAATCATTGTTATCACATTGACTTCAGCAACTAATTTTTTTTTGGCAGTCATTTCCAGAGAAACCAAACTCTTTTCAGTCAATGCTTTTGCAGAACACTATCACTCCTCCTGGTAAGCATGGCTAACAGTCTTCGTTTCTACATACTACCATTTGGATCTGAAGTTCAGGAAAGTTGTTCTCCTCACTTCTCAGAGAAGGAAAAAACGATTGGTCTCTCACACACACCACCATGTTCAGTGAAGTCCTAAGACATGGAGTCATTCACCTTGTGCTGAGTGATATAGAGAAAGAAATCCAAGATTGAAATGAACAAGTAGAAGGTATTCAAAAGAAGTTAAAAATCAAATTATACAACTAAAAGAAAAAGGGAAAGGAGGTGTCTTGATATCAGCTAGCTATCAGGTTGGACTACTGACCTTTAAGCTACATCCCCTACATTTTAGAATAGATTCTGTTAGAAAGGCAAATCATCATATCTACCTTCTTAGGCTCAAGACTTCTAAGGTGAGGAGGTGCTAGAGTGTTTCTAGAGAACTAAGGGCTCTGGTGTGTTTAAACCAGGCAGATTAACTAAGAGGAGCAGTGGCATTCACAGCATCTGCTGACTGTGATGCATATAAAGCACAACTTTTAAAGCAGGGGCATTCAGAGCAGAAACCAATACCAGAAAGGAGCCACACTCTAAGCATTAGTACTTTATTCCACTTCTACTGCAGTGTGACATGATTACTTGGTACGATAAAGGGTTGAAAGAAAGAAGGGGAATACAGGAGTCTGGAAACGTCCACTAGAATTAACTAAATTCTTGTTTACTGGAGTATCCCACAGTAGTCACACACACACACACACACACACACACACACACACACACACACAAATATGCGGCCATATACATATATTTAACATTCAGAATACACAATAATTCGGCTACTTTTTAGAAAAAAAAAAAAAAAAAAAAAAAAAAAAAAAGAAGTCAGCTACACATGATTTTTGCCCTGATTCCAGACTGAATGCAATTGATTTCTACCACACAGGAGACTGAATCGATGCCAAAATTTTCATTTCATTAAGAAAATGATATTATGGAGCATCTGAGATCATGTAACAGACAAAACAGAATGCCAAAGAAACGTTAACTGCCAGTACCCCACAGTGAATGCCTGATTATTTGCAGATGGGATATGGAAAAATTGTGAAATTATTGGAATTTTGAATCCTGTACGAAAGCATTACTTCAGACTGCATGTGTCATGGCAAGTCTATTATAGTATTGAATGCATTCTTAGCTTTTGCTTTCAGTGCTCAAAACTGGCTGCGCTTACTTCTTCAGCCTTATTGACTGGAAAAGGCTGCATTCTTCGAAGCACAAAACAGAACCCTTAGGTGATGGCACAAAACAGTGCCAGTAAGCCAACTGTCAATACCGACTTTATTTATCCAATAACTAAACTAAGAACTAATTTAAATCAATCTCCTTGGAAAAGCCAATTGTTCAGCACGCCCAACAATCGCTCTGAGATCAATCGTCGAACATAAGATCAATTAAAACCAGCTTAGGTTTTGGTCAGAGGACAATTCACGCCACTCGAGCTCCATGCCTATTCATTTCGCGCTCCCACAATGCAGCCCTTAAGCTCTGTTGTAAAGCAGAAATACCGCTATCACCCTCCGCTGTCTCGTCAGCACTCTAAGTAGTTCCACATTTAATTAAAGACACAGTATCCCCTTTGTTAGCACAGATAGGCTGGTCACTTTCAAGGACTGCTATCGTTTTAGCCACACACTGAAGTTAAATTCTGGAAACCATCTGTTGAAGAACCATCAAAACTAAAGTGCTGTACAGTTTTATTTGTGCCTACTCTGAGGCTGCAGGGAAGCACAGCTCTTCTCCTTCTGCAGGTTTCCCTGCTATCTGTACGGCTTTACATTGTAGATGTTCGCTCCCCCCCTCCATTCAAATAACCCTTCGGTGCAATTTGTCCTGAAATCCCAACGCCTGTCTTCAGTACTGGGGCCACCTGATTTATCGTTAGCTTCGGGAATGGGACGAACGGCTGTGAAAAGAATGGGGGAAAAGAACGGCAATGCGATTGAGAACACGTGGAGAACAGAAACATTTTACAGTGAAGGTGATTCGTCCTACAGAAAATAAAAAACAAAAGAAAGAAAGAAAAAAGAGGGAAGCAAAGAGGGAAGCTGACCGCAGGCGGCTGACAGCTGAGAAGAGCTGCAGTAACCGCTGCGGCCACACGGGTGCTGTACAGACACACCGCTCCGCTCTCAACTCCGCAATCCCCGCAGCAGCATCTCAGCCAAACAGACCCGATCCCAACGCACCGCTTCTCCCCGTTTCTCGAAGGGCTCTGCGCGCTTTGAGTACAACATTGTCACACAACGAAGCGAAACCTCTGCAAGCCACTGCCCAAGGCTCCGCCGTGCCGAGACCAGATCGCAGGGCGGACGGAGCAGCCCCAGCGTCCAGTCCGAAGAGCGCGCCCCGCGACCCCGCTCGCTACGAACAGCTGCGGAGCCGCGCGGCGGCACCGGGGGGCGGCCGCAGGACTCGGTACTCGCGGTCGGCGGAGCTGCCGGCCCGGGGTCGGCTCACCTGCCTCGGGCAGGGGGCGGGAACGGTGGCCCCCGCGGCTCCTCCTCACTCACCTCTCTTGCCGCGTCTCCAGCGGCCGACTTGGCAGTGGCCGTAATCCATACAGTTCAGGACGATCAAGGCAAAGGAGAAGAGGCGAAACCGCATCCTGGGCCGCTGGGGCGGGCGGGCAGCCTCCTCCGGCGGCGGCGCGCGGGGCGGGCGGAGGGGGCAGCTGCTGCTGCGGGAGCTCACGCGCCTCCCGCTGCCCTGAACGCGCGCTGCGAACTCGCGGCGCCTTCCAGCATCGCCCCTGCGGTGCGTGTAGAGCGGGGGAAAGCGCGGCTCGAGCTCCGCGCGGCTCTCCGGTCCTCCCCTTTCCCAGGCTGGGAAAATCAAAACGAAGAAAAGAAAAAAAAAAAAAAAAAGCTCGGTCCGGGCTGCGGGCGGGAGCGGGGCTTCGGAGCGGAGTCAGCGACAGCCCCAACTTTTTTCCCCTGCGCTACCTCCAGCGCAGCCTCCGGACCCGCGCGCCCCGGGCCGGGCTGTCAGCTTCGCCAGCCGCTATTTATCCCGGCGCAGGGGCGCACCCCGCCCACACGCGCTCAGGTCGCAGCACGGCGGGGCCGGAGCCACCTCCCCTACCTTCCGCGGCGCGGCCCCGCGACCAGCCCGCCCCGTCGGCGGGGCCGCAAAGCTACACGGCTCCGCGGGGCTGCCCCCCGCGCTCGGCCCGAGGGGGGGGGGGGGGGGAGCTCCCGGCCGCATGCGGGCGACGTCCACGTTCCCCCCGCTCCTCCTTCGCCTCCTCCCGGCGGCCGCGCCACCCGCTCCCCCCGGCCGCCCGCAGCCGCTCGGCGGGGGCCGCCCCCCGGGGCCGCGGGATGGAGCCGCGCCGCGCTCCC